ATTATTACCTTTTTAACTGTTCAGCCAGTTAGAACTATAAGACGAGAGGACTTTTAATTGAGATGTCATTTACTTAGTATAAAATTTGCCCTAGGGCTGGAGTTGTAGCTCAATGGAAGAGCACTTGCCTAGCATGTATGAGGCACTGGTTTAAATTCTCAGCACCACATATAAATAAATGAAATAAAGGTCCATCAACAGCTAAAAAATATTTTTAAAAATGTTTCCTACTAAGTACATAATTTAGTAGTATTTAGTATATCCAATAAGATTGTGAAACCATAAGCACTAATTCTGGAATGTTTGCAGTACCACCAAAAGAAACCCATATTCATAATCAGTCTCTATTACCCCCCTACTCCTAGCCCTTTGCAACTGTAAGTTACTTCCTATCTCTATTGATTTGCTAATTCTTACATTTCATGTAATTGGAATCATGCAATATGTGACCTTTTGCAACTGGCTTTTTTCACACAATGTAATGTTTTTAAGGTTTACCATATTGTGGCATACACCAGGGCATTATTCCTTTTTATGGTTCAAAAAATATTCCATTGTTTGTAGTTCCATGTTGTGTTCATCCTTTCCTTTTGTTTATTCATGTAATAATAAATTATTTTTATTTGGGTGTTTCCATTTTGGGGCTATTATGAATAATCTGATAAATGTTCATGTGTAAGTTTTTGTGTGAACAATGCTTTTGACTTAGCATTTTCTAAGTTTTTCTAGAATAGTCAGTATCCTTTTATAAATTAGAAGTACAGTGAGAAAAAGAATTACAGTGAGAAAAAGAAGAAATTACTTCTTTATTATTTTATTATTTTTCTATCCTTACACCTAGCCAAGTGTCTGGCACTTAATAAATGATCACAAAAATGCCTGAATATGAGTGAATGACTAATAACTTGAACTTCACTCATAGTTTTGAATACTATTGGAAAACAATTATCAAATTATAATTATAAGATATTACAAATAGAAGTTCTTTTACCTAAATATAACTGTGTCTTATAATCATTAGGGAATCCTAAACTATCTACTGCAAAACTATCTAAGCATTATGTATGCTGTAAAATTTTTAATTCACATCATTAATTTATTCATACATCACTAACAAGGCTTTTCTTTGAGAAAGTCTCAAAGAAACTGAGTTCTATGACATCTTTTTTAATAAATCACACTCATGATTTGTTGACTGATATCCAGTTTTAGTCTCTTTTAACTGGACAAAGAACTTAAAACAGTAGTGAAACAGTTTGAACATAGATACCTTTGGATTTTTTCTTTTATCCCACACTCACATAATTTTATAACAAAAAAAAGTTTTAACTATTTGAGTTTTTAAAAAAAATATAGTTTGGAAACTATTCTTTTTTTCTACACTTTCTTTATGTAATTGATTTGATTTTTTTTTTTAACTGAGGACCAAACCCCCCAGGGCCTTGGCACAGTATGCAAGCAGTACCACTGTGAGATGTCTCCAGCCTTTTGAATCGAATTTTTACTATAAAAATAACAACCAACATAAACAGATTGGAGACAGACACAACTGACTCTAAATAAATATGCAACTTAACTACTAAGATTAGAAAAACAGGGGCATAACAAAAAGTGAACCATCAACGTGCATCGGTGTGTTGTGGGAATTAGTTATTTTGGCATTATGTAAAAATGTGCATGTGTAACCGATGTGATTCTGCAGTCTGTATTTGGGGTAAAAATGGGAGTTCATAACCCACTTGAATCTAATGTATGAAATATGATATGTCAAGAGCTTTGTAATGTTTTGAACAACCAATAAAAAAAACAGAAAACTGTCTAATCTTGAGACTTAAATGAAGCTCATTTAAAGGATATTCTATAGTATTTGATTAAGTACTGTATGTATGTGTGTATATATATATATATATATATATATATAATTAAGAATTATAATTAAAGGGACCTAAACAATCAGGGAAACCTTTATTAAAAGAAGGTAGAATTTGAGTTGGATTTTGAAAGATGATCAGAATGTGCATTTGAGGAAAGAGAATATTCTCAGGAGGGGAATGAAAATTCATTCCTCTGAAGCCATGGGTTGGTTAGGGAAAGAAGAGGAAGGAATAAATACAGTAACATTTGGTTTAATTGAATAAGCAGTAGTCATGTCTAAAGACCTAGATTTTTTGCTGCTGTTTTAATTTGGAGAAATAATAATGAAAGAAGAAAAGTTCACTAGGCAGGAATAAAAGGAAAAAAATATGGAAAAGCGATCTGTCTTTAAAAGTTAACATGTAAAATGTTAACAGTGAGAGAAATAGAAACTAAGGAAGGGCCAGGTCAAAGCATAGAACCAGTGATTTTCAATGATAATCTTTTTTTAATCTACTAGTACCTGAAAGCTTTCAGGTAAGGTTTTGTACAAGCTGAAGATTCCACAGCTTAAAGAAAAAGACTTTTTAAACCACAAGTTTAGACATATAAACCCAATGTCAGAATATCTTGAAATGAGTGGGGGAAAGCTGACTTAACATTGTAGGAAACAGTGGAAAACCAAATTATTTTATGACCACTAAATTAGATAGTAAAAGAAGGTTGTAAGCTACTTTTTGTTTCTATTTTCTATGATACTCATTTTATATTTTCTAGAACTAGAATATAATACTGATTTGATTAAAAATAAGTATTGATTAAAATACTTTTAAAAGATTGACTAAAAATAAGTGTTGAAATTTAAAACAAATGATGATTAAAACAAGTGATGATTCACTTGTAAATAATAAATCCAATATTTAATATATGATAAAATCATGGAATAGTTATTTTTAAAATCTGAGATGATTCCTTTAGCTCCTCAAAAGAGAAAGTCTCATAAATTCAGGACGTTCCATGTAATTACTATTTGGTATCTTTTTAAACCTATTTCAGCTAGATTTCACTAACTCATATATATCAAAAACTTCTTTCTTATGTTGTTCTACTATCTTAAATAATACTTTTAACAGTAAATTTTCAAAATCACTTCCCCCCAAAAAAAGTAGGTTTGATGATGAGTCTTCTGCTTTAATTTTTTTTAAAATCTGAGACCAACAATTTTTTTTACAAATCTTTAAGGATAAATATTTCTTTCTCTACGTTTTGATGAGAGGCCTATTCTTTTTTCATAAAATATTAAGTTGCAAAAGCCAAAAATATTCTACATATTCTCTCTCTCTCTCTCTCTCTCTCTCTCTCTCTCTCTCTCTCTCTCTCTCTCTCTCGTTTTAGGAGAAACTGCTTTATGTGGATTGACACCTCACATACTCTGAGTTTAAGAAGTTAGCATTATCTGAGAAGTTGCTATTTTTAGGTCCAGCTGTAATGTTTCTAACTTTGGTACTTGGAGTAGTGGGTGCTTCCTTTCCCAGAAGGCTCTGTATTCTCAATATGTGCAGGTCAATTTGATATAAAGCTACCTACAAGGCGCAGGAAGCCCTTTGCAGCCTGTGTTTTTCATTTGAAAATTATGAGCAGGTATTTGAAACTTCAGGTTGTATTTGGGAATCAGCTACATGTCAGGACAAGCATGAATTGTAGTCCCTGGAGGCTGGGAGAACATAATGCTTGAATTTAATTTCTTTGGGAAACAAGAAGAAAAAAAATACCTTTCTACCTGACAAGATTGACAGCTTATTAAATTTGACTATCTTCAGAAGTGTGCTGGACAATTGCGAAGTAATCGTTCATTTTTCAAAGATGATGATCAAGGAAACATCTTTACGAAGGGACCCGGATTTAAGGGGAGAGTTAGCTTTCCTGGCAAGGGGCTGTGATTTTGTTCTCCCATCAAGGTTTAAGAAGCGGCTGAAGTCATTTCAGCAGACACAGGTTTGAAACTTGGGTGTTTCTTTTAAGATATTTTTATTACTAATAAAACCACCCAGTGAACTAACTCACAAATAATTTTATAACTCACTTGTATCTTGATATTAGATCAAGGAATTAATCTGTGTCCTCTATTCAGCTATTTGCAGAAAGCTATTTGTAGAGGGATTCCAACAGGTTTAAAAATAGACCTTCTGGATCTGGAATACAGTACTCACATTTTTCTCATGTAGAGAGAGAATCCAGTTTTAGAGATAATAAAATACAATTTAACAAATAATTTATAATTTAGCCAGAAAAATACTAGAATCTTTAGTAGGAATCTTTGATAGTATTGGTGTTAGAAGCCTTATTTGCACTTTGAATCAGTAGACTGTGTTTAACACACTTGGATCAGTAATGAATGTTTGATTTTTTTTTTTAAGTATTGATCCTGGTAATATTTTTAAGGGCAGCAGAAGTATTTTTATATATAAACAATTGTGTACATGTGTAATACACTGTATAGGTAGATAATAATGAAGGATGGCTTCTAGATTATGAAAAGGTGATTTCCCTCAACAAGCAGTGAGACTGAGTGATTTCTGCCTGTGATAACTACTTTGCAGAGTTTCTGCTTTCTTGATTACTACCTTTGGGCCAGTGTCTTACCACACAAGTTGCCTAACGTTGCGTACAATACAAATCAAGGGCTACTCAAATACTGGCCATCCAAATTCCATCCAGAAACCATAGTTTCATAGTTATTTTGACCCAGAATAATTTCAAATTATTTGGGTGAACTATGTGAAATTCCTTTTTTCCCCCTTTGTAGGTCAAAACCAGAAAAATATTGGAAATCCTCCAGTGATATAATAGTGTTAGAACACTATTTAGAATGAATATTTAAATAATACTACGTTTATAAGGAAAGACTAAGGTAGAAAATTAAAATTCTTTATCCAGCTTATTTTTTTAATGTTGTTCCTATATTGACTGAAAAGCTTTATTCAATATGAGCAGTTGTCTAATTTACCAGTAAATCTGGCAAAATTTGTTCTACTAGTTTTTATTGTATAATGTTTATAAAGTATCAGTTTTATTACACTACTTTAAGGTTTAAATTATGTGTATCCTATTGAACTCAATGGAAAATAAATTGATATACCCGAAAGTTCAAAATAAATGCATTTTATTTACATCATTTCCTTTTTAATGACCACAGAACTTGATCAGTTTTATTAAATATGAAATTAACCAGTGACTTAATAAATTCTTGCCTATCAGTGAATTGCTCTGTGTTAAGAAATACACAATGAATTGCAAAATATATGCAGTATATAATCAAGTATTTTCCCATTAAAATAAAAGCTTTGACAGATAACCAGTGTTTGTGCTGAATGTCACTTACCTTGTCAAAGCAAAAGTATAGAGTTAACATTGGAGATTTTGCTCCAAACCTTCTCCCCCACTGGCACCACTGGTCTTAAATCTTATGGCTATAATTGCCCTGAAATTATAATAACTACCCTGGATATCATACCGTGGAAAACAAACGTTTTAGGGAAACAAAGAATTTTTATGATTGAACACATGTAGTCTCTCAAACCTCTTTCTGCTTAAAATAATGGGAAGGAAATGACGAGACAAGTGATCAAGTTAAAGCTTTGAAGAAAGAGTTATGCCTTATTTTAGAATTTTAAGAATATTTTCTACTACGATTGACTCATGAATCTGTATATGCAGATTCAGCATTAAGCAGAGAGAAATGTTTACTTAGAATAGTAATAGAATCAGTGTGTTTAATCCAAACTGGTTTGTAAACTTTAAATTGCTTTACAAATGGAGATGATTATTTATGATTGAACCTAAAAATTATGCCAAATTATACATAATCTTTTGAAAACCCCCACCTTTTGGCTTTGTCACTCATTTTCTTCCATGAGGACAGATCTTTGCCCAGCACTGTTTTGAATCTTTTACTCATGTTACATTCTTTAATTTCCTTCAGTCCTCACAACAGTCTTCCAAGGTGTAGGGATTATAATTTCTGTTTTATTACTGAAATTGTAAAAGGTTAAGTAACTTTCCTGAGGACACAGTAAACCATCACTGTTTTCTGTTCAGTTCTTCATTGGCATCCTTTTCCTCTGTGCTCTTTCTTCCTTGCCTATTGCTTATTGTAGGATTGTTGTTCAGACTTCAGGGGTAGCATTAGGCTAATTTAAAAAAGGAGAACATTAGAGCAATACTTTGTGATCAGTGAATTTAAAATAAACTTAGCCAGTCAATAGCCATTCTGTATTTCATACTTTATGTAGTATATAGTGCCATGCTTATGAGCATAAATGATTGGGTTATTAATTAAGAGTGGAAATTAAAACTCTGAGAGTCTTCATAGAATACTCCCTCCTTCCCTTTTCCCTCAATCTTGAGTTATCTCCATCTCCCAATTGCTCCTCCCCACCCCCCGCACACCTTTTCACTGTCTTTTCTAATATCCCTTTATGGTATACCACATCAAATTCGGTTTGGAGAAAAGAAGGATATAAACTATAAATGAGTTACTTAACTGTAAAGGGAGTCTGGTTGTAATGAAATTAATGACCACAGAACTTGCATATTAAGAATATACCAAAAATGAGATAAATAAGTATCTTGGGTAAAATGGCATGCCCCTTAGTATTAAGTAAATCAACCATAACTAAAATGCTTTGACTTTCATAACAAAAGTTTTTCTTAGCATCAGAGCTTGATAGTGATTCTTCCTCAACAAAGTTAACTAGAAAAGAAAGTAAAAGTAGCCCCCTACCCCAAGTGCATTTTAGATCTGTGTGTTTAAAAAGAACTTGTCATTTCTGCCGATTGAAGGAGGGGAAAGACTAAGAACAGAAAGTCTAAAAACAGTCTTCAAAAAGAATTTACTGGGTTAGGGCTGTAGCTCAGTGGTAGAGCGCTTACCTTGTATGTGTGATGCGCTGAGTTCAATCCTCAGCACTACATAAAAATAAATAAATAAAATGAAAATTTAAAAATAAATAAATGTATTGTGTCCATCTACAATTAAAAAAAATTTTAAAGCGAGAGAGAGAATTTTAATATTTATTTTTTAGTTTTCGGCGGACACATCTTTGTTTGTATGTGGTGCTGAAGATCGAACCTGGGCCGCACGCATGCCAGGCGAGTGCGCTACCGCTTGAGCCACATCCCCAGCCCCTAAAAAAAATTTAAAAAAATACTAATCTAGTTCCAGCAGACTAATAGTACACCTCAAAGTCCTTACTCTATCAACTAATACTGCTCTTTGATTATTTTGAAATATTGATTGGAAAATGTCCTATAGAATTTTTAAAATATAAATTTATATAAACTCAAGTATTGATAAATAAATAATGTATTCATTTATTTAAATCTCCTTAGAGACTTGCCTACTACCCTCAAGTAAAGTAAGTAATTGTGGTTTCTTGTATTTATATACTACTTCCTATTACTGGTGAGGATACTCAAGAAATATATACAGTTTAGAATTTTTGTGTCTTCTAATCACATTTCTCTTCCAGATTCAAAATAAACCAGAAAAGAAACCAGGAACACCACTTCCAACTCCAGCCACTTTTCCAGTTAGCCCTCAACCTCTCTCCCCTGTTCCTGCTGTGAACAATGTTGTGAATGCACCCTCGTCCATAAACATTCCACGGTTCTACTTTCCCGAAGGACTCCCAGATACCTGCATTAACCATGAACAGATTTTAAGCAGAATTGAAACTGCTTTCATGGATATTGAAGATCAGAAAGCAGACATTCATGAAATGGGAAAAATTGCAAAGGTAATAACAATTACTAAATGATTAATAATTCCCTTTTCTCTTGCAGTCCCAGTGTTCTCCTTACTGCTTCTTTGCTGTTTTGCATGCAGAGGATTTTTTTTCCATGTTGAAAAAACGTTATTTAATACTATTAGATCTCTAGCTATAGCCCTACTTCATGGAACTCAAAAGTTTGAAAGAAATTTTAGTAGTATTCCAGTTCAACTTCCCACTGAATGTAGGAATTCCTTCTAAGACATCATTAACTCATAAATACATTCTCTTCTTGAATGCTTTCAGTTACTAGAAGCTCACTACCTTGCCAGTAGCTTGTTCCATATTAAAGAACTGTTTATTGGAAACATTTTCCTTATGTTGGATAGGAATTTCTTTTTTGTTTTCAGCTATTGACCTTACTCTACCCTGAAGCTAGATAAGGAGCCACTAGGCCATCTCAACACTAACATTTTATCCAGAAATAAATGAATGTGATACCAGGAGGCAAGTCTTTTATTTTTTTCCAATATATCCAACTGCTTCTAATTTAATATTTTAGCCCCCTAATGTAGGACTACTATGGCTGCACTCCTCCTAGAATAATATTGAACATGACTATCAGATTATAGTTGATAATGCCATTCCTCAGCTCAGGAATATTCAGGATTCTTACCCTCTGTGGCAGTACTTTGCTTGGTTTGGTTTTATTTTTATCACTCATTTGAAAATATATTTGAAAGTCATATCATACCTCAGATTTTAGCAGTGGTTCTAGGCTATGCTTCAAGAAGCTGAGGATTGTATGGAGGCAAGTAGGAGATCAAGTGAGTGTGCCCATGACTCCATGCAGACTTCTATTTAGAATGGTTCCCCAGCTTTCAGGAGAGATGTTAAAGTTTGAAAAGTGCTGCTCCTCAGGATAAAACCCTTCTCTTAGTAATCTAGGGCCTCCATACTCAGTCCCCAGAGATCCTTTCCAAAATTAAAATTACCTAATGCTGTTTCCTGCATGAACCTGACCCTATCACCCACTCACAGTCACAACTCTACATTTGGACTCTTGTAGCTCTCCCTTCCAAGATGGGTTTCCATTCCTATCATCCTCCACAATACCCACTTTGAAGACCTGGCTTACATTCTGCCTTTTTAAAGAAATCCCTAATTCTGTTCATGTTAATACTGAACACAAGTCCACTTTCACACTGTGCAGAAGCCAATCATTGGAGATGAGAGTTGGTGAGAAGGAAATCAGATTTATTCAAGGGCCTATTCTAAGAAGATGGCAAGGCCATCATCCTGAAAACTCCATCTTAGGAAATTCAGTGGTACAGAGGGCTTTTAATGAAGAGGAAAGTAAAGTAATGGGAAAAGGGACAAGAAGTCTTCATGCTTAATCACTCAGTAATCATCTTTTTCATTCAGGGGATCTTTTTCCTTTCTCTTTGTTTGGAATATTGTGATTACAAATAACTTTTGTCTCCTAGGCCAATCCCTATAAACTTTTAGATAAATACATTATTTTCCTGCAAATTAAATATTATCCTTTTAATTAATAGGATTAGTAAGTCCTTGGCCCACACTTTGATGTTATTTGAATACTAGGTGTTCTAGGTTCTGACAAACTAAAGAAAAATTAATGTTTGGAAAGTCTGGGGACCAGCTTCTTTTCTCTTTGTCCCCTTTTTCTGTAATAATTGACTGTAGTAGTAATATCTCAGCTATTGAAAGGGGTTTTCTTTAGACTTACAGTGTTCAGCAAAGAAAAGAACAAAGAGTAACTTTACGAGGGACAATTTTGCAAAGTAAAGCTAATCTCCAATAGGATGGTGTAAAACAAAATGGCATAGATGTTACATATTATAATGCCCTGCCCTTTGCCTAACTCTGACCTCACAGAGCATTTCTGTTGCTGCTAAATAGTTTGTGAACAGAGAGATTTTAAAAGAATTCTTTCTTTTATTATCTCTTTCTTTGCCACTTCCCCCCTCTTAGAACTTGATTTTGGATCCCTTAGATCAACAAACTCCCTCATTCCAAAAGTAAGAACTTACCTGTTTCCACAGGGTTTTACTTATGAGGAAATTGCAGTACCACAAAGTACTGAAGTCACAGAACTAGTTCTTGTCAGGAGACAAATCTTCTTAACTTCTGGCATGATCCTGCTTCCATAGGTCTTATTTCCTGAACATACACAAACATTAGCTAGCCCCCATTCGGTAGTCATCCAAATAAATTGCAAGTTCTCTTTTCCTATATTAGGTGACAAAACCAAGACAGTAAATTCTCTGAATAGCCTGGAACTATGGATCTAAATCAAAAATATAAAAGTTAGAAAAGATGAGTGAAATCTTCATTTTGGAGGTAACATGTATTAAACCAAAACTCTTGAGATCAGGGGATCTCCCACATAAAAGAATTTATTGAGCCATTACAGATGTTAGCCAGAAACCAGGTCCTGGGACAAGTTTGAGCAACTACCAGCAGGTGGGTGAGATAGCAGTTAGAAAATGTTCACCAGGTCAGAGCTAGAAGGAATTTTTATTCCAGCTATTCTGTTTTTATTTAATCCAGCTTTTACTCAGCTGTCAATCTATTAGCACATACTAGTCATCCTTATCTTTAACCATCTTTTATATGTGTCTCTTGTGCCAGGAGACAGTGAACTCTATCTCCAGCACTTGCTGCCCATGAACTTTCAGTCGGTTGATATAGAAAAAGGGAGAAGAGAGGCAGCCTTTAAGGGGCAAGGAAGGAACAGATCATCAGAGTAGTATATGAATGTGTTTATGGTTTCATATAGTTTTTAAAGCTATTTGAAAGATGAGCTTGGCATTTAAGTGTTGCTGTAAAGTTTGGGATCTGTTTTTTAAGTGCAAAAAAAATTGTGTTTATAAAATCTGTGTATGTTAGTGCAGTTTTACCCTCTTGATCTTAGACCTCAGTCATCCCTAGAGAGCTTACTGTCATGTCTGGTTCAGTATGTATGTATTTTTTGTACTTTTTCCCACAGCATTAATTGAGATGGAGAAGAGATAGAGAATGAACCAAAGAGGGATGAAAGCAGTGTAAAACAAAAACTGAGCAACAGATAGAAAAGCATTTGTCAGAGACTAGGCCAGGGGATTCATTACATAGTTTTATCCTCTAGCAGAAAGTTGAGAGGGGAAAAAAAAAGTAAAACTCTTTTGAACCATGTAAAGCTCTCCAGCCCCTCTCTTTTGACTGATGTAGCACTATCTTGACCTATTTGTGCCTGTGACCTGTAAAGCAGCTGCTCTTACCTGAATTTCTTCTTCTGCAAAATGGGATAAATCTGCCTGCTCTCTTCTGCATGAGATCATATTAGGATCTAATGAATAATAGGCATGAGACAATTTAAAATGTTGAATGAACATTACAAATATTGGGTAATCATCTCCTGTTTATATCGCTTGACAGCCTTGCTTTTAAGTTCTTGTTTTGTTTTGTTCTTTTTTGTTTTTGGAATGGGTATTGAACCCAGGGGAGTACTACCATTGAGCTATATCCCGATCTTTTTTTATTTTTTATTTTTTATTTTGAGACAGGGTCTCTCTGTGAACCTGTGATCTTCCTGCCTCAGCCTCCCAAGTCACTGGGATTACAGGCATGCACTTAGATTTCAGTTCTTGATGTTGTGCTATTCTTGGATCAAATTGTAGGTGTTAGTCAAGTTTTTTTTGCTCAAGTGACTTTGATTGCCATATTCTGACTCTTACTTACTCTAAACATAAGTTTCCTAAATCCATTTTCTGTATCTCCCTGTTTGTTTCCACTTATCAATCACTTTCTTCCTTTGTTTAAAACGTTCTATTTTGTTTTATTAATAGTTCTAATTTGTCACCTTCAGATTAATATCACTTACTTTTTAGTTTATTGATCCACTGGTTCCCTCTATCTTAATTCTTTGATTTTCAAGTAGATGTAGACTAGCCATATGTTTCTTTTTTTTAATATTATTTTTAGTTGTCAATGAACTTTATGTTGTTTATTTATATGCAGTGCTGAGAATCTAACCCAGCGTCTCACACATGCTAGGCAAGCACTGTGCCACTAAGCCACAACCCCAGCTCCCCATGCATTTCTTAAATAGTCAAAATGTAATGTCCACAACCCTTGACATTCACTGTTCTCCTTTTTTCCCCTCTTGGCATTTTCTCCAAGGGCCTGATACCTTCATGTTGTAACACTAGTGTACTCAGGGTTCCCCACTATTAGAAAAGGCTGACCTTTTCCAGTCTCCTTCAAAACATTTTCATTGTGTATCTTTTCTCGTAGGGGTTTGCCTTTGGATCATAGTAAGTTTATGTGTTAATGTCTTAGTGATTCACTCACTATTCATGAGCTGACACATGCATTTTATCAGAAATCTGGGAAAAAACCCTCAGTTCAAGGGAATGAAAGTTGTTAATAGAGGAACTTGTCCCATAGGAGGTGATAAACATAAACACACAGTCCCTGAAGTGTATAAGCTAAGGTTGGTGACTATTTCCCAAGTTTGAGCTCTAAGAGTCCTGACCCTTCCAATTCCGAAAAATTCATGAATGACTCCAGAGGGGGAAGTTTCAAGACCTTTGGCAAGCCATTTCCGGTCTCTCCCTACACTTTCTGTTCTTGTAGCTCCCCCATCTCTGTAATGTGAACCATTTTTTCAGCTTCCCAAACAGTTGCCAATAGCCCATCACCAAGACTCTCTAAGAGTATTTCCTTGGCAACCCACTCTGTGCAAAAGGAGAGACAGGGAGTAGGGAAGGTAGATTTGACAGTTCACACACCCAAAACATATTAATTGTTAGCTTTGTCCCTTGGCAATCATACAATAAACAAAGCCATATCATTGTTAAGCTGACCTCAATAAGGTATTCAACCTCTGGAAATCTTAAATCTCTACCCTGCTTGCAGAACATGCTTTAGTGGCCCTGGAGGCAGCAGCCTCTTATTTCTGTCCTGTCCTTACCTTCACTGGCCTAAATCTTGGTTTCCCTAGTCTAATTTCTGCCATGAACCAGCAGCATCCTTGGGTAGTCTCTCAGAATAACTAATGTTAAACTAGGTACTCTTCATGCTTTCCATGGGAATCTCCTGTGCACTGAAGCCTCACACCAGGAGCAACTTCACCTAAACCTAAGGTGGATACACATCTAATCTAACTCCAAAAAAGAATCTTCCCTTTGTAGAATGATGAAAGCTCAACAGATCCTGTATTAATATGAATAATATCTTTAACTTTTAATACAATGTCACTCTGAAGAGTTCTAGATTTAGGGATATATTTTCTATGTATGTACAAAATTAGGAAGATGTGGACATTATTTCTAATTTTAAAATTAATTTAAATTTTTAAGTTAATAATTTCTAATTATTTCTAATTTTTAAGTAGTATTAATTATAGGAAATAATTTCCCTCTAAGGAAAAAGCAGGTAAATTTTATAAGAACTCTTGTTTACAAGAGGAAGCCAGTATTTTATTTTTAATGAAAAGAACAGCCTCTTATTAAGGAAAAAATCAATACTTTTAAGGGTATTGAAAGTCTTTATATTCATTCCTAGTTCTTTTAAGACTTTCAGTGAATTAATATATATAATATGTAGTTATTTGTGGTAGCTCTAGCATTTTGATTTTTACCTTTTATCTTTTACTTGAACTATAACCATTTAGATTTTAACCATATAGTTTTCTTTTTTTCTTGGCAGTGTTGGGGATTGAACTACATTCCCAGCCCTTTTTTAGTTTTTATTTTGAGATAGGGTGTCACTAAATTTCCTAACCTGACCTTGAACTTGGAATTGTCCTGCCTCAGCCTTCTGAGTAGCTGGGTGATGGGTGTGCACCACCACACCTGCTTGATACCTGGTTTCTTGAACAACACAGGGTTTTCTGGTTCTTGAACCTGAAACTTAAGTATAGGCAAAGGAGAAAGGAAATAAATAGTTGAGTGTTTTAACAACAAGTGACCCCAATGATAAAGTTCTGCTCAAGGATTGAAAGACATATACATCCATGATATTCATTAATTTCTTTTTCTTTGTAGAAGGTAGAAAATACATGATGTAACAGTGCCAGGTGGGGAGACTGGCTGCTTTATTTTCAGGATGGAGAGATATCACTATAATGAACTTGGAGAAAAAGTTTATTGGCTTGATTTTCTTCACTAAGCATGTACTCCTCTTAATTTTAATTCCTCTCTCTCTGTCTCTCTGAATCTACCCTCATTGATACATTTGCCTATGGCTCAGTTGTGTTCACCCTGAGGCCATTCTGTCTACTGTGGCATGAAGGGTAAAAGTCCCAGATACTTTTCTTTGGCCATGTTATCCCTTTACAGCCTCTGGCCTTACTCTTTATTGATTTTTATTTGCAGATCTGTGGCTGTCCTCTCTACTGGAAAGCCCCCATGTTCAGGGCTGCAGGGGGAGAGAAGACAGGATTTGTATCAGCACCATCATTCATTGCCATGTGGAGAAAGTAAGTATGAGCAGTTACTCTGGGGCTAACAAAGAATTATGTGGTCCTCATAACATGCCTTATAAAGGTCACTTGTTTTATTCATTTTTCTTTTACCCTTTACTTCAATAAGGAAAATTTAGTGATTCACAACCATTTTCTTCACCACAAGCCTTTACCTTACATGTCTTTAAACAGTAGAGTAAATCTGAAGAAATTCTTCTTTAATAACTACTTAATAGTTTCTTAGTTTTACTTGTTACATTTGAAACTCAGTATTGAATCTAATAGCAATTACATAAAAGGGAAACAAACCACATATATCACATGAAAAATACCGTTCCATTCTCATATAATCCAATATTGAATTATATCTAGTTAATTTATCAAAAATAATTGAATTATAATAGATTTTAATTATTATTTTTGAGGGCTATAATTAAAGAACCAAAGGACTAGTATATTTATCAAAATATTCTTGAATTTTAACTTTCTGATAAATTTTCTTTAATTCAAACTCAACTTTCTTCTCCTTTATACCTTTCTTTTTAAGGTGTTATTTCTTAATATATTTATACATTTTAGGAAAATATCAAATCTTGTGCCTTCTTCCTCTTTTAACCAATTATACCTTTTCTGGGCTATATACCCTTCCCCCTAGTAAACTATGTAGAAATGCTGTTCAATTACTATTATCATACAAGTCAGTGTGCAGTATCAGCAGAATTCAACTTAGATTCTTTCTATTCCCTTAGTTGCATAATGCTTGAGAACATATTAGGTGATTAATAAATGTTTTCTTAGTTCTAAAAGTCTAGCAGCAAGTTGAGTTCACTAAGTTCTTCATTATATTAGAACTAAATGGTATGTAAGACTGTTCCAGTTAATAAACTTTTTTAAAGAACTACACCCAAGCTAAAATTTAAATAAATGCTTCTTGTTGTCTAGGTGCATTTTAGCCATTTTCTTCTTGGAATAGTTCTGACCTGTCCAAGGAATAAAAGAGCCCAAGGAGAGCCATTACTCATACACTACCTTCTGACCCTCCAAAGACAGTTCCAATAGTCAGTGTTCTACCACCCCTATAGCAAATAGAAAACAGGCTAATAAATATAAGAAGTGTCTTTCTGTTTTAAATGTGTAGAATTTCTTGGATACTAGAAATAGGAAAAAACACATAATAACAACAATACTAATGAGAAAGAGTAAACTAGCAGAGAAACTGGCATTGCCCTTGGAGTATTTTTTTTATTTCTGGCAACCTGTAACATGGGGGAAGAAAATAGATTGTAGGACCTGGAATAGTAGGAAGTCAGCTTGTATTCCCTCTCCTTTCCCATTAGCTAAACCAGGATTTCAGCTGGGTAGTATGATTTTTTAAAAATCAATATGTAAAAGTAGCAGAATTTAAGAACTTAAAATTTATAGATGTTAGCTTTCATTCAGCTAGCTTCTTTCACCCTGGTAGGTGTAAGCCCTGAATAGGCCTTAGCTGGAGTATGAATCAGGGATAAAAAGAACAGGGAGGCGAAACAGTTCTTGTCAGAAGTAGCTTTAGTCATTAAGATCAGCAAGAACTATCTAGTAATCTTGGAAAACAGCAAGAAGTGAGTAATAATTGCTTAAGAAAAGGCTGTGATCAGGCTGGGAGACTGAAAAAGAAAATAATCTATTATATGAGATATTAGAGCCAGAGACAAGAAATATAATCACTTATATTCTATTTTGAATATTCTAGGACACTAAGTTTGACAGTAGCAAAGGAAAACCGGTGCCCCACTTGATTTATCTGCATTAAACTCCTAAATATTAAAGAGAATCACAGCCAGTTTTTGGTTAAGACTATGTATACTGAAATAGGGTAGACATTTATATTGGTGGATAGAGCAGTGCAGCACAGCAGCCACAATAGCTGTATTCCTTTATTGAGATTAATCACCTTGAGGTATCCTTCAGAAGCTCATATTAATTCAGGAACATTCAAAGGTAAAATGATTGCATGGTGAGAGCTGTAACCTAATGAGTCTATCCTCATTTAAATGGACTGACAGGGTAGTAACTGTAGGCAGGTGAGGAGCAACTGGGGGAGGTGGGTCATTGGGAGTATACCCTGGAAGAGTTCATTTTTCTAGTGGGCCCTTCCCACCCACTTCTCTCTGCTTCCTGGTCCCTCCATGAGCTGAGCAGCTTTCCTCTGCTGGGCGCTTCCCCAATGATGTACTGCCTCACCTTAAGCTCACAGCAATAGCATCAGCGTCTTTAAGCTAAGATCTCTGAAACCACAAAGCCTAAATAACTTATCCTCTAAGTTGTTCTTGTTGGGTATTTTGGTCACAAGGACAGAAAAGCTAACTTAAAACAAATATATAAATGTATGTGTCTATATTAAAATGTCCTGGTCAGATACTTAAATGGTTTGGGCGCCCTCTAGTGGGAACTCTTCTCTGAGCTCTTAAAATGCCTTTTAAAGGCCAGGATGCTTTAAGAGAGACCCAAGTATAGCTGTTTGTTGAGAGTAGCAGCTAAGTATAATGCTTTGAGTTACCACCTGACCTAGGGAAAAAAAAAAAAGATGTCTTTAAA